AGCTGGTGGCAACAGCACACAACAAGCTCCAGATGGTCCAACAGCAAGAAGTGGAGCCCAGTGAAAGGTCAGACCATCAATATAAAAAACATCAAGTCATTGTAAAGAAATAGTGAAAGGCACAGAGTCACCTGGTGCTGAATTAAATAACTGGTGGTAAATACCTCAAAAATTCCATTTGGAAGAGGATGAGAGGTACAATCTGTACAGAAATAACAGGAGAAGAAAGAATAACATTGGTATCATAAAGAAACAGACAATAACAAAAGATGGTCTGGATAGGGATTATTTGATCAGCTGGGGTTTAGGATAATGGGTTAATGAAATGTCTGGGTGAGCAATGAATGTACACAGAAAATCAGATGGTTTGGAAACATTCACACATTTCAGACACTGTCTGTCCAGCAAATGAATTGTACAAAGAGCCACAATTAAATTGAGGAACAGGTCGATCATTTGCACTTCAGGTTTATTACCAAATCCAGGGGGAAATTATTCATTTCATTCATCACTAAGTGTCTTTGTTCATGCTTTAGCTGCCTCACATGGAGTTTTCACAGGCTGCTCATTCAAACCCTTCTGTTGAGGAACTGATTAGCGGGGGAAAAAATCCAGAATGAAAATTAGGGAAAACTGAAGCGTACCACCAGCTCCTCCTGAGAACAGTGGATGGGCTGACACGGCCCTCCCATCCGAGATGGAGACCTCAACAAAACTGTCAAAGGATTTGGGAAGAACTCCATTATAAGGACATAAAAAGGTCACCAAAGTCACCCCCTTGGAACAAAGGTCTCACTGCTTGGAGCTCCATAAGGACAGATGAAGATTTGGGCACACCAGCACTGTTCCTCACCTGAGGTGAACATTGTGCACACCCACAATGCATAAAATCAAAAGCCTTCTCTTCCCTGCCAGGCCTGTCAGCTGCTCTCAGCTCTCCCTGCAGCCCTCATTAGGGGTATGAACACACTGTCATGCTACAGACCACAGCTCTACTATGCCTTCGTGCAGGCTGACACCACACTCTCATCTGACCAATTCACCAGCATCTCCAGTGGTGGAGGAGCCTTTCAAACTTTAACCAGACTGTGAAATACCTTTGCTGTCCCCTGGACTTGCCACAAGACACGACAAGCCCCAAAGGACAGAGATGGGTCACCTGGGGAAGCTGGAGGAGCTGTTTCCACAAGGAAGAGAAGGCAAGAGGCAGGGACACATCACCTAGACCAAGCTGTGTTCCAGCTCTTTGGGAACATGACACTCCAAATAGAAATGGAAAGGCAAAAAGAAATGCTGATTGACAGCACTTTAGGTACTGAATGGTATCTGCATGTTGTCACCTGCTGGAACAACTGCCTGACTCAAATATCAGAGGCAGGCATCCAGCAACCCAGCAATTATTGCTGCCCTCCTCCAGAAAGCCAAGGGGAGAATTAAAACCAGCACAGTACTGAGGGGAGTGTCCCCCATGGAGCCTGAATCAACTCCTGCTTTAGAAACAGCCCTTAAAAAGAGGCAGAAATGAACCATTCAGCCCCATCTGAAGGACACAGCATCCTGTGCCTCCTGCTTGGCTCAGTCAAGGGCCATAAATACCACCAGCCTTCCCACAGGGATCTGCTCAGCGGAACCTGGGCTCCCCCAGGCTCCTTTACACATTCCAGCATCAGTTACTGAACCAGGATCTATTCCTGACAGTAGGAACAAAGTGAGTGATTGCATCTGCTATATTTAGAGCAAACAGCCAATACCCCCGCATTTAAATGGTTGCCAGCATTCTCATTAGATGTATAAATAGCCTCTGTTTGTTTTCAGAAAGAAATTGGTTTAAAAAAGAAAACTACCTTCCTAGTCCTCAGCCTGTAACCATTGAGCAGGGAGGCCTATTTCATATGAAAAATTAAATAATGCTTTTTGTCTAAGCCAAACCAGGAAAAAAGCTCTCAGCTGTGGCTGGTATTATCCATGCTGTGATGCTTTGTGTGGGTATAGGGGTTTGAACACAAGGGCAGCACTTAACTGAAGCAAACTGAAGCTGCTTGCTGCAGAGGGGCATCACCCTCCCTCTCCCAGCCTTGACCACTCACCATCCCGAGCCACCTCTTCCCCCTGCAGGTCAGTCACACCAGAGCTCCCTTTCTTCACAGAATCCCAGAATGATTTGGGTTGGGAAGGACTTTAAAGATCACCTGCTTCCAATCCCCTGCTATGGGATACCTTCTGCTAGACCAGGTTTGCTTCAGACTTTAACCAGCCTAGCTTTGGACACTTCCAGAGATGGGGCAGCCACAGATTCTCTGGACAACCTGTGCCAGGGCCTCACTCTCAGAGGGAAGAATTCTTTCCCAATATCCCAGGTAACCCTGCCCTCTGGCAGTGGGAAGCCATTCCCCCTTGTCCTGTCACTCCAGCCCTTGTCCAAAGTCCCTCTCCAGCTCTCTTGGAGCCCCTTTAGGCAGTGGAAGGGGCTCTGAGGTCTCCCCAGAGTCCTCCAGACTGAGCACCCCCAGCTCTCTCAGCCTTCTCCTCTTCTTCTCCCTCTCCCAGCTCCACAGCAGTCCCAGCCCTGACATCACAATTCTGTTCTTCCTCCAGATTCCTCCAGTCTCCAGCCCAGGCTCTCATCCAACACTCCAGCTTGCTTTTCCTGCAACTGATGCTGGCCATGCTTCCTCCCTTGAGCAGAAAGTCTGGTCCCACATAAACATCTGTCCTTAAGGCATTTCAAGGATCACATCCCCATCCTCCAACCCATCCAACCCCCATTTGCATTAAAGTCAAACTGAGGACCCCAAACAACAAAAAAATACATTGGAAAGCTGGGATATAAGAGACAGCAAAACCCCACTGTAGTTATTTACACAGAATAATGCAATTTCCCCCTCAGATTTGGCTTGCAAGAGAGGGATCTATATAGACTTAGGACACCAAGTGTGCTGAGGGGCTGGGAGCCACAGCGAGGCCACGGATAGCTCCTGGGACCACCGGGTGATTCCTGGGATCCCTGGATGGTTACTGGGATGTTTTCTGGGACCTCTGGATGGTTCCAGTAGTCCCTGAATGGCTCCTGGGTCACCTGGATGGTTCTTGGCACCCCTTCTCTTCACCCTGCCCTTGGGGTGCGGGATTCCACAATCTCTGCTTCCTCCAACCCCCCACCTCCTGTGTGGGGCTCGGGAGGGAGGTGGGATCATTGTGGGGGTGTCAGGGGAGGATCCCTGGGGATCGCAGGGGGATCACTGAGGGGTGCAGGGGGGTGTAGGGAGAAGCAATGGGGGCACAGAGATGATCACTGGTGGAGTCTCAGGATGATCACTGGAGGTTTCTGGGGGGAACACTGAAGGATCTCAGGGGGATCACTGGGGCACAGGTGGGATCACTGGGGAGGCACATAGAAGGTATCACTGGGAGGGATCATTGGAAGTTTCAGGGGGATCACTGAGGGTCTCAGAGGGATCACTGGAGGT